CTATCTGAAAAATTTCCAGTTGTCATGTATGTGTGTGGCATTTGTTCATTGATCCCTTGAACTAAAGAATTAATGCACGGTTTTTACTGGCCAGTTCAAAATTAATTCACAACCAATTACCTTTAAGTCGTGGATATTTTTAGAAATTGTACAATTTTACGGTAATTACAACTAAGTACACATCTCCTTTATTATTAGAACCACACACGCAACGTTATCGGTTCTATTTATGGCAATTATGGACTGAACATTGACAGTTTACAAGAAATGATTTGCTGTTAACTAATGATAAAGAAGTTAATAGGATGCAAACACAGGTGTTGTTATTCCACTACAACTAATGGCTAATAGGAATTTATAGTTTTATTACCCGACTATATTATCGAAATCATTTTTCAAAGTTATACACCGAGACATTAAATTTTCCTTTAGTAAATAAGATGAAACATTCCTAAAGTGTGAGTAATTTCGATACCATTTTATATCAGCTCATGTTTGCATTTTCATCTGCGCGAACAAAGCACTAAAAGCACAGGAATAGTGGCAGAATTTCTTTTCTTCGTTTACGACCACCAAACCGTTCAAGCTATTGATTTAATTCTTGCTGCAATGGAATCTAGAGCAAATTTCTGTGCAAATCCATGTGATGCTGTGATTCTCGACACGCCTAAACCTCGGTTTACGACACCGCAACAATAAATCCGATTGTTTCATATTTTTTAATTTGTGTTTCTTCTTGAAATAAGACGTTCATATCGTCGGTGATTGTTGTCACCAAGATTGTCACATTTTAAATTAATAAACCACGTCAACCTTATTGTTGGGATCAATAATGGAAGTAATGTTTGATTCAAGCGCGATACATTTAGCGTCCTAGTAGATAATTCATGCCAGGTTGTGGGACAAAATTAATTTTCATAGTTGTCATAGCGATCTAATGTCTGCTTTGTACGAAGTTAGTTTCACGGTTCACGTGTTGCAGGTTTTCAGTTTTGCTTTGGTTTTGATCTGATGTGATTTTTTTCGTTCGATTTTTAGTGGAACGAATAGTAAGTAACAATCAATTACAATACATGGTGTCAAGGATGTAATTTTTTTCCTATGATCACTCTCTTAAAGTCAATCATTGCTAACAAAGTTAATCTTTTAAAAAACTCTAATGAAAAATGAAGTTTATGTAATATGAAAATAACTGTTCTTTCCAGTCATTTTAAAATTTAATTTTGATTGCTACTTCACTACTTGTGTTAATGCACACTCGGCATGCTCGAATGAAAAATTAAGTCTTTCAAATCTGAAGTTTTTACTCTCGTTATAATTAATTCAATAAATCGACCATATTTTATTTGTCCTCGAATTGTATAATTTAATACTATACGTAGGCATATATTTTTTTCACTGAAAACTGTAAACTATCGGACAATATTCATCCTACTTTAAAATAATAAATTAGCCAACATTTTCGTCCGCAATAAAACTTACTTAATTCAAATCCGTTTTGATAACAAGCACCTGTTGAATGCGCCATTAATGTTGCTGAAATTAAGTATACTATATTCAGTTAAACTTTAGTTTAAAATGAGTTTAAAGTCCTGTTTGTTTAAAGTTTTTTGTGATGAATACAGTTTCTGTGTTTAAATGGTTTCAAGAGAATTATCTAATGGAAAATTGCGGGAAATTAAAAGGACTCAGAGTTGATGCATAAAAAACCCAAAAAAAGATAACTAATAAAAGTTTATTCTATAAAAATTCTGATGACTGAACAAGATAAATAAGTAAAGAATGCAGTTTGTTGTAAATTTTAAAAATAGACATAAAATAAACACGAAGTGTTTCCTTGGAGACCGATAAACTTATTCCTTAGGGCTGTGCAGTAATTAGGTTTGTTACTTTTGTTTTCTTCTCTACTTTATTTTAAATTAGTAAATCTGTTCTTACAATCTTCAACTTCGGAAAATGTAAAACTGATTTAAATCAATTAATGTAGAGACAGAAAATACCCCACTTGGCAATTTTCATATCTTCTGTTTCTTTTTCAATGTTGCCAACTTGATTTCAAAATCACAAGTTACAACTAGAACTCATGGTTTTTATTTCATATTATTGTACCGTACAATCAAAAAAATAATAATAAATTAGAGTAGGCGGTGGTTAAAGTCTTTCAGATGGCAATCCTGATTTTTGACATCAAATGTCAGCGACAAGTTTGCGTTTTATTCATTTTAAGTGAAATAATGTTCACTTTAGAGCAGAAAATTTTTATTGTTGCAAGTTATTACAAAAATTACAAAGACGTAAAAATGTTGAATGGTCCTTTTCACTTTCAGTTTGTGTGGAAAATTTCCATCCCAGATTCCCAGCCAATGTGTTGCGAACTGAAAACTATTTTTTAATCGCACAGTATTTGTTAATACACTTTACAAAAATATTGTCATTACCTCTCAGTAAACAAAGTATAAACAAAGCAATAAACATACATTTTTTGCAACGTATTTTCTGAATAAATACACCAGAAAGAGTACATTAGTAGAAAATCTTCTAGCAGAATGATTCTGAAAGTTTTTAAAACTAAATACAAATTTTGATACAATTTTTCGATTGTAAGCAACTTTGAGATTTTCTAATAATTTTTTAATAATTTTCAGTCTTTGTTTATAAGCATATCAATAAATGTAAAAATAGTTTTTTATTTGTTCTCATCAGTTGATAGTTTCTACACAGACAGACAGAAACAGTAAAATTAGCAGAAAACTCTGTACCTGAAGAATTTGAAAAATTTTTAAAAAGTAGATCTAAGATGGAAGATTCATTTTTTTTATAAATAAATGGAAGTTATTTTGGCTTTTGACTCAAAAAAAAAACGAGAAAATTAGGTCTGAATTTTAGTTTTTTCAATCTATTCAGCGATTGTGTGTTATACAGGGTGTGTCAAAACTCGCGCCCAAGAGAAAAATTCAAGTAAGGTAATATTTTTTTACGTTTGACATTTTTTATGTCTATTTAATGATATTGATGATCTTGTATACCAGAACTCGCCCCCAGAGAAAAATGCCATATAAGGTAAGATATCAGGAACATGGAAAAAATGTTTAAAAAAATTATCTATAAAAATTTCAAAGTTATAGCGTTTTAATTTTGCACTTTGGCTCTATTTATTTCTGTTGGAAAAATAACTTTCCAAGTTTTTTTGCTACAGATTATTAGAAGAGGAAACAAGGAAGCTGTATCGTAAATTGTAACTCTGTTCAATGTTAGTTGTGGCTTTTATTGTCAATTTTTTTTTACCTTTATTAAATAATTGTAAAAAAACATACATACACAAGATCATCAGTATCATTAAATAATTTATTTCATGTTCCTGGTATCTTATCTTCCTTGAAATTTTTCGCTGGGGCGCGAGTTTTGGTGCACCCTGTATAAACAAAGCAATAAACATAAAACGTTTTTGCAACGTATTTTCTGAATAAAGACACCAGAAAGAGTAAATTAGCAGAAAATCTTCTACCAGAATGATTTTGAAAGGTTTTAAAACTAACTTTGAGGTTTTTTAATAATTTTTTTTGCAAAATTCGAAATTTTAAAATATTTTGACACAATATTTTCACTGTCTTTGTTTAGAAGCACATCAATAATTGTAAAAATAGTTTCTTATTTGTTCTCATCAGTTGGCATTTTCTACACAAAGACAGTGAGAAAGAGTAAAATTAGCAGAAGGATTCAGAATTTTTTTTAAAGTAGGTCCAAACGATTTTTCTTGATTACGATTGTGAGTTTGATTTTTATCGATGAAGATCCATTTTTTTTATAAATAAATGGTAGATTTTGGCTTTTGACTCAAAAAAAAAACGAGACAATTTGGTCTGAATTTCAATCTATTCAGCGGTTGTATGTTATACAGGGTGCGCCACCCAGAGAAAAATATCAAGTAAGATTAGATACCAGGAACATGAAAAAAATGTTCTATCTGTCAAAAAATTTTGACATTTATTATTTATTTTATTTTAATGATACTGATGATATTGAATATGTTTTTTTTTTATAATTATTTAGTAAAAATACTAAAATTTTGCCAATAAAAGCCACAAATAAATAGAGTTGCAATTGAGGATACAGCTTCCTTTTTTCCTCTTCTAATAGTGTGTATCAAAAAAACTTGGAAAATTATTTTTCCAACTGAAATAAATAGAGTCAAAGTGCAAAATCTAAACTGTCGAATTCGTTTAGGTGTATAAAGATTATCATCTGTACCAAATTTTGTAATTTTATCTTAAATGGTTTCTGAAATAATAGCAAAAACATATTAGCCCCCTTCCAGGGGGTGTAGCTCCCTTACCAAGCATTTTTTGATACATGTTTATAGGAAACTTTTGTCTTAGAATTGAATATTCTATCATCTGTTTAAATTTGTAACAATAAAAACGGAACATCCTGTAGATAGAATTTTTTTAACATTTTTTCCATGTTCCCGGTATCTTACTTTACATGACATTTTTCTCCGGAGCGCGAGTTCTGGCGCACCCTGTATAAAGACTCATTTTAATACCGTGCTTTTTAAGAAAAAAAACCGTTGATTCACGAAAACTTTTCAAGTACCTCATAAAAAAGTATGTTTTTTTTTATCTGTAAAGTACCCAAAATGATCGATTTTTCTGGTAATAATTAATAAAGAAACGAATTTGACGACAGTAAATGATAATATTATGATAATAGCTTAGTTTAATGATTTGGAAACATAGGAATTCTCCTCATGTCCACGTTTTGCCGACAAATTATAATTTTCTGCATAAATAATTCAGGAATCATGTCTAAGGTAATATCTATAATATAACAATGATCATCTTGAACGTACTTTTCACCTTGTGAATAATAAATTTCATCGAACACGTGCAATAATGTATTTTTTTTCTTTTACCTCACACCGAAATCAATACCGACCTTCCCGCCGTCAACAACGCAATAATTCCACTTCATAACAATAAACATAGTCGATCTTGTTGCAGGCGAAAATGTCAATCACCGGAAATGAAATAAAAATTATTCAAAGCTTAAGTGGGCACCGAAGTGACGTAACCTCTTGTGACTTTGCTTCCGATTATACACTAGTGACCGGATCCAGGTATTAATTCATTATTTTGAACCCCAATTAATAATTTTATTTAGCGATAAAACCATTCGATTATGGGAATGGGTGCGAGGTTCCGGGTACGTCGAGCGGTCGTATTCGCCCCTCCGAGGCCACAAGTACCAAGTCACTTGTGTGAGGATCTCCCCACAGGGGGCTATGCTGGCCAGTGCGTCGGTTGATGGTACTGCCATTTTATGGAACCTGCATTCGGGGATTAAAATATACACTATGGTGCAAGTGAATGGAGATGCGATTCGAGTCTGCAGGTGAAGATACGGATTTACGCTAAATTGAGTTCTTTTAATATTTCATGTATAGATTTGCGCCTGACAGTTCTATTCTGGTCACAGCGGGAGATAATGGGGCTGTATGCGTCTGGGATTTGGTTCATAGGAGTTTGATAAGGTAATTTAATAAACTTTTGCCCGGCGCATCCACCAAATTTTACTCTGCTTTTATCGAGTGACAATGAACGGTTTTAACAAATGATGATTAATATTTTATGAGAAAATTGGGGAGACTTGACCCTGGAATGGAGTAATTCCATGCCAAAACGATCAGTTTTAAAACTCATTGTTTCTGATTTTCGTAATTATGTTATAGAACGTGTAAAAATAAGTAACACGTATTTCACCGTTTTTTTAGTTTTTCAATGTATGTTGAAAAAATAGGGATGTACAGGGTGCTGCATTTTGCATGTCCGAATAGGGAATCTCCGAAACTAAGAGGTTTAGCCAAAAACGAGTAATACATTCTGAGGCTCATTTTTTGAGAAAATAATATTGGTTAAAACCGCATCCCGCTATTGTCTTTTGTTTTCGACTTATAGACAAAAATTGACATTTTAGCGAAATCTAAAAAAATTCATATCTTCGTTATTATAGAAGACACAGATTTGAAATAAAGACATTATACAGGCACTTTTTTACGTAGAATTTAATAATGTAGTTATCAATTTTTTTCAGTTGTTTGTTTAGCCGTAATAAAATAAACTTGTATTTTTTTAAATGGGAATCATAGATGGTTGTGTCATTTTTAAAAAGCTTGTTTTTTCTTATCTAAAAAATATATATTTGTAACAAATTATTATAATACATTTTTAGTAAAAAATTATCTTTGATTTTTGTTCGCAGTTGGCCATGAAAAAATGTTGCATCTTTAACCAAAAGGATTTAAACTATATTATATTCAACCAGTGTCACTAATGAAAGAGTTTCTAAGTACTAAGTAATGGAAAAGATGCAAAATAAATTGTAAATCAACTTATTGGCGACTAATAACATTTCTTTGTTTTTAAACAAGCTAACCATTGCAACTTCTAGTGATACATAGAGTGTTGTAAAAAAAAGACGCTTTAATTCTTCAATAAAATATATTTTATATGACACAAAAATGACGATATGGCTATTCAAATACCCAAATTCCGTCTATGTGAAACGTTATCCTACCTCCATTATATCACCAAAAAATGTTTTTTCTAATTGTGTTGACTGTTGACACATTTGTTTTTCCTATTTTTGAATTTTTTAAAAATATGTAATAATTTTGTTCTGAGGCTCTCGGATATTTGTTTAATGCTTCTACCGTATCGTATTTTTTAAATCTTTATAATTTTATCTATTTTTTCATCTATTTTACAGTTCACAAAACTCTTATTGATTATTATTTACACATTTGGAGTGAAATAGTTTTTCCATGGCCAACTATTATCACACAAAGTATGTATTTCACTTTTTAAGTATAGTTATAAAAAAATATTTTGTTACAAATATATATTTTTTAGATCAGAAAAAAATAAGCTTTTCAAAATTGCCATAGCCGCCTATGATTTCCATTTAAAGAAATACAAATTTATCTTATTACGGCTAAACTAATAACTGAAAAAAATTGTTAACTACATTATTAAATTCCTCGTAAAAAAGTGTCTGTATAATGTCTTTATTTCAAATCCGTATCTTCTATAATAACGAAGATATAATTTTTTTTAGATTTCGCCAAAATGTCAACTTTCGTCTGTAAGTCGAAAACAAAAGACGATAGCGGGATGCGGTTTTGACCAATATTATTTTCTCAAAAAATGAGCCCAGAATGTATCACTCGTTTTTGGCTAAACCTCTTAGTTTCGGAGATTCCCTATTCGGACATCCAAAATGCAGCACCCTGTACAAAATTAAGTATCTCGGAGCAAAAAGAATTTTTATCTAAAGAACAAATCAACATATTGAAACGATTTTTTTTAAATAATATATATTAAATAGGTACATTACGGACGTGATGATACATGTATTCTAATAACAAATAATTTAGAAATATATTGTTTAAACAAAAAATAAACAATTACGCAGGTTTTTAAAATTCTCAAAAAAATTATGTAAAAACTCTCACATTTTTACTATGTCTTTACATAAGTTTCAAGACGGACGTTTTGAAAATGGCTGAAAAACTTTTTTTTGAGAGCGCTGCATAGTGCATGATCCCCTAAGATCGCCTGAAAGTAGCGTTTCCTTGGAAATTAAATAGAAAAATTACCAATTACCGTCACTAATAAACTGTTCTAAAGAAAACACATAATTTTCAATAATTTATTAACATTTATTTTTCAAAAAGTATCAATAATAAAAAACAAATTCTTCGGTTGAGTAACACAAATATTTCACATATTATGTTTGGCTATGAAGGGGGTGTCAAAATTCCCGGACCAACGTGGTGACATGGTAAGATACCAGGAACATGAAAAAAATGTTAAGAAAGACTGTCAAAAAATTTTTATATTTATTTTTTGAAAATTGACATTTTTTATGTCTATTTAATGATATTGATGATCTTGTACATATATGTTTTTTTTATAACTACCTAATAAAGGTAAAAAAAAATTGCCCATAAAAGCCACAAATAACATTATACAGAGTTACAATTTAGGGTACAGCTTCCTTGTTTCCTCTTCCAATAGCTTGTAGCAAAAAAAACAACAGAAAAAAATAGAGTCAAAGTGCAAAATTTAAACTCTCATAACTTCGAAACTTTTATAAATAGATTTTTTTTACATTTTTCCATGCTCCTGGTATTTTACCTTACGTTAGAGTTTATAGAAACCAAGAAGGATATCGATAGGCGGAGCCAATGCGTATTCGGTGTAGTGGGGAAACTTGAGCAGTGGCGTAACACAGAACCATTCTGTGATAAAAAGGGAATTGTAGAGTTGCATTTTTTTTTGTATATTCATTGACTGAGATATTAAATATAAAAAATTCATACGATGCTCCACGATTATTTCAAATATACGGTGATATTAATTTCTGTATAAATAAAATACGAACAAACAGTACGTTTATTAAAAATGTAAACATATTAAAAAACAATGTTTGTATCATATTTAATTTTAATTAATTTTTTAAAGTTAACATTTATAAGATGCCCCTATTAATAAGTAGGTATATTAAACATTTTTTAGTTTTCATACCTAGTCAATAAGATGTAAGAAGATGAACCCTCAAATTTTTACAAAAATTGTTGTTATGGGTTTAAATCAGAATTACAGGCGATTAATTTTTTATATAACTGATGGGCCTAGTAATTTCACTTTATACTCTTAAGTCAAAATGGAATTTTTTACCATAAAACTAATAAAATATATTTACTATTCTTATAGTTAATGTTTATGCAGTGGTAGGTATACCTATATTTTGATAACTATTTTAAAATTAAAATTTACTACAATATAATGTATTATGTAATAAAAAGTTAGGTACGTCTGCAGCTCAACTTGCACACTGCAAAAGGATTAAAGACTTGTGGTTTGGAAATGGATTTTATTTTGATAATAATTTGGACCTTGTTGAACAATTTCTAATAACTTTCTCAAATGGTTACTGAGTATTGCAATTTATAAAAGAACAAATGCCTTAAAAATGTTATTTATTAATAAAGTAATAAAATATGTTCATTACAGTATATGTATTATTTGTTTTCTTCAAATAAATAAGTGCGAATACACGCCACTGCTCTCAGTTGATTTCAGAACTCCCCTATATTTACGAATGGAGTCGTCTGCGACGAGTTTTCGTCTCTGCGCATCCCTTCCATCGATATCCTTCTTGGTTTCTATGAACTCTACGTTACGTTGGGCCGGCACTTTTGACACACCTTGTATAATGTAATCGACAAGTTGAAAGACTTTACGATTTTTTAAATAATCGTTTTAGTCGAGCCAAGCTTATAAAAGGTACGCGAAATCTACATACTTTTATTTTAATATCAGAAAATAGAATAAAAAAAAAATATAGAGAGTACTCTTCCTCAACCGAGGAGTTTGTATTTATTATTGATATTTTTTGAAAAATAAATGTTAATAAGTTATTGGAAATTATGTGTTTTCTATACAACAGTTTATTAGTGGCGGTAATTGGTAATTTTTCTATTTAATTTCTAAGGAAACGCTACTTTCAGACGATCTTAGGGGATCATGCACTATGCAGCGCTCTCAAATATTTTTTTTCAGCCATTTTTAAAACGTCCGTCTTGAAACTTATGTAAAGACATGGTAAAAATATGAAAGTTTTTACATAAATTTTTTGAGAATTTTAAAAACCTGGTAATTGTTTATTTTTTCGTTTAAACAATATATTTTTAAATTATTTGTTAATAACAAATTTTTAGAATACATGTATTACCACGCCCGTAGTGTACCTATTTATATCTATTATTAAAAAAAAATCGTTTCAATATGTTGATTTGCTCTTTAAATAAAAATTCTTTTTGTTACGAGGTACTTAATTTTGTACATCCCTGTTTTTTCAACATACATTGAAAAAATAAAAAAAACGGTGGAATACGTGTCACTTATTTTTACACGTTCTATAACATATCTCAAATTTACAAAAATCAGAAACAATGAGTTTTAAAAGTGATCGTTTTGGTCAATGTGGAATAACATTCTAAATCAGATTTTTTGCTTTCAATAGACAGAATAAGACAAATATTTGTTCATTTCCTTATAGCTAATTAATTAGCATAACGCATTTTAGTTTGTTTGCTTCAGTATTTACGTGCGATTTTGTTTGATTTCACCCAATTTCATTAATTAAGTTTTAATGAATCGTTTATTTACATTAATCGAAACTTGATTTTCGAGGTGTTTGATTTTTATTCGATTTAGAATCTGCCTTAATTGCAATTAAGTTAATTTGCCATATTTGTTTGTATAAAAGCTAAATTATCATAAAACTATCAATAATTTTAATAAATGACTGAAGAAATTTTATTTTATTTCTACATGTCAAAGTAAGACTGATTTGAAATGGGTAAGTAAACAAAACGCTAATGCATTTTTCAATATTCTCTGTGCAATTATTTTACCATTAAATTTGCCTTGTATATGATTTAGATTTGATATCAAAATAGGTTACTTTTTCAATTTTGTTATTAACGAGCTTTGTAACTTAGAAGTTTAAAAAGTAATAAAAAGCAAAGTAATTTCTATATCACATGCTTAAAATAGTATATTAAGCATCAAGAATGGTAAAAACATCCAAGACAATTGTTGTTATTATTATCCGAAATCGATAAGTCTTTAACGTTCGTTATGTTTATTCCTTTTTTGCGCTAGTGGTTTTTGTTATTTTTTTAAATAAAATATCTAAAATGGAAAATGGATTTTTATTTTATTTTTTCTTATTAAGAGAAAGTTTCACTATTTTTCAAATTGTGTAAATGAAACATTTATATTTACCTTTCTATTTATGTTTAGACAGTGCCTTCATAAAATGATCAAGAACCACGAAACCCTTGACACTAATATTTTATAGATACTTTACATTCGTTGTGTAGTTATTCTGGTCACGTCGTGGCTCTTGATCTTTATGAAGATATGAACAAATAGACCACCTTATGTTTTAAAAGCAAAAAAAATATAATTTAATAATTTATGCTTTTATTTGTGTAAAATTTACAGGGCAAAAATTAAGTAAAACAATAATAATTAATACACGTAATAATAAAACCAAGAATCAAAATCGTTAATAAAAGTTTATTTTCGGAAAAAGCAATACAAAAATTTTGACAGATTGTGGCAACTAAAGAGTTTGACATTTTTCATATACCTTTTCTGTTATGAGAAGTATTTTTGTTTAATTCTAAATTGCCGGAATTCAAAATAGACAAATTTTTATAAGAAAAATTAATAACGTCCAACACAGATTGTTCGGGAATTTGATATAATTTTTGTTCAATTTATTATTTGTCTTTATTAACATAAAATATAATAAAATACTACATTTTTCACTATTAGGTACAAGATTTATACAGGGTGTCTCAGCGAATTGAAAAAGTCCATTTTAAAACAATGTTTTTATTACACAGAAACTAAGACAACTAGAACAATTTTTTTCTTACTTCTGGAAAGAAGAACATACAGAATTTAAAGCTGCAGCAATTTTTTAGTGTTTTGCATTTGTAAAGATTAATAAATTAACAAGTTTGTTAAAAGTTAAATAACTTAAAAAATTTTGATGGAACACCCTATTTTTTATTTTTGCATTTAATAAATTGATAAATTGTCTATCAAAAAAAGTAAACTTTTAATGTCTAGAATTGATAAATGAAAAGATATTTAATTTTAAATGTTAATTGTAGCAACAATGCCTATCAATATCTGAGCATTGTTGATACTATGGCAACCATCGTAATTCCACCATGGATCACAAAGTCGTTATAAATACTGAAATTCGAATTATTTTATTGTAAAAATAAAGAATAATGGATTCAGTTTAACACAAATGTGATTATTAAGTGATATTTCTTCCATTTCTTGTGCAACTGTGCACTTTTTGGCTATTGAAACAATAGTAATTATTTTTTTTAATGTTTAAC